AAACAGCACAGTCAAAATTGTTCACAGTGGGAGGAAATCACAATTTTATTAAGCTGATGTACTTATCAGTTGTGCTAACCAGTCATATATTTATCATACATAATAGTCATACCATATTGTCTTTATTTGTTCCTACTTGCTTCTTTCCTTCCTCCTCCTCCTCCTTTTCCTCTTCCTCTTCTTCTTCTATCATAGAATGATATGATTAAGTAATAGGTACTGGGAATTTATGGGAAGATCTGGATCCAAAAAAGGTACTTTCCTATGAGTAAGGTATGGTGAGCCTTGACATAGGCATAGCCATGATTGAACTTTGAGTCACCTCGCCGGCACGGAGGTGCTGTCGCCCATAGCAATGGGCTAGTTCAACTGGTGGTCTGACCTGTTGCCTAGCAAATGTAGCCCATAATACTTGTTTTGTAGAACCTTGTGACTTTCCAGTCTGCTACACCCTGTTTGTATTTTTGGTTTCGGTTTTAGCCTATACATACCCCACCTTGAAAAATAAACGGGGCCTTGCTACGAAGAGAGCATGAGCCTGGAACTAAGTTGGTGAAACTGCTCTCCTGTTGTTCTTCCCTCGGGTTTGGGACCTGCTGGCAGGACCCCGACGTCGTGGCTCGCGACATAAGGTATTCTTCAGTTTATCACATATACAAAAACCATGAGAGGGCTTATCAAAAGTTTTGTAGCTGAAGTATCTATTATAAGCATTTAGGTTTATATTTAGCTTTGAATTATACATACATATATTTACCTACCTACACACACACACACACACACACACACATTTTTAAGAAATTTAGAGCATCAACAATTAAATCTGAACATTAGATGGGTGATCTCTATCCTGATTATCTTGTGAGGTAACTACCGACACACTTTTCTAACACAGGAAGAAACCAATTGAAGTAAATGATATTCCACAAATTTGAATCAATGATGTTGCTCACTAATCCTAATAAACCAAAGTGAAGAACCTTAGTTATAGTTTTCTTACAGCTAGAAAAGAAAAATTGCAAAATACCTGTCCTATTATTTCCCTGTAAGCCCATTCTCAGTCATTGTAGGAAAGAAAGAGGACTGTATTATGTCTAGGCTCACAGCCCAACGTGTAAGTGGAGAAAAGAACTATTAAAATAACTATCAGGAGAGAACTTCTCAAAAGGAAAGCTAACATGTAATGAAACTTTTTGCTGGGGTGAGAATCAAAAAGCGGTTGCTGATAGGATTAAACTGTTACAAACAAAACTTTATGTTTTATTTTAATCCTACTGTTTAGAAGATGGACTAGTCATTAGTACTACCCTTCTAGGGATTTTACATAGGATGTTCAGATCTGTGGTCATCAATATCACAGACAAGTCAACAGAATGTCTGAACAAAATGGAGGGTGACAGAATTCCTTGGCAACGGTGGGAGTGTCCAGTGTGCTTTCTTGTTTAAAGATCAGTGGAAAATTCTCAATAGCACAGGAACTAAAAGGGAAGTGTGAAATGTAATGGTGTTTGGTCAGTGGAGCAAGGGATTTGTAGTGGTGAAAGAAACTACAGATAAAATTATTTGAATTGTACTTTCTACACATCTTGTAGCACAATTTAGGCTTAGAAAGAATTTCAATTGAGTTTTGTTGGGTTAGTTTTGATCTTAACAAAATGGATTTGTTGTTTTTGTTTCTTCTTCTTATTCAGATGGGTCACACCCTTCTAATTTTGGGAAAACTGATTGTTATCTCTTAGAACCACGCAAGATGAAGTAGAACTCTTTCCAATTTTGGAAGTTTAATCATGTTGGATTCTTACCAAAAAACTTCAAGGGAGTTTCAGCTTGAAGGACCAATATGATTGTCAAGTGAGCTGTGGATTAGGCTCTGGTTCTTGGAAATTCAATGAAAATAGTTTAGGCAATGATAGATTCAATAGGGCAGACAGAAAGAAATGGGGACTAAACTGGGCAAAGCAAATATACAGGAACTCATTAAAACAGCAGGCAATGAGTAATTCATAACTAGTATCTGATATATAATTCAAGACCCAAAGGTCACTTAATATTAACTCTGTTGCAACACATATAAACCCAAAGAACCTGGCCTGCAGTTGTTGTTGAGCCTGCCTTAGCTGTTTTTATTTCTTGCAAGTGTTTCTTGGAGGCATAAAAAATATGAGTAAAACTGGATTTATTGGAGGCCTTTACTTGGATTAATTAGCTAATAAAAGCATTTTCAAATTGCTAATTTACTAAGCAATGTCACCGAAATGCTGAATTACTTTACTTTTATTATAATGATCAAAAGAGATAAATGCAGCCTTAGCCACAAAACCAAAGCAAAGAGAAAAGAGGCAGCAGTCATTCTTTGCATAATTACTGGCATTTGTCATCCTTTCCTTGAAAAAGAGATCCTTGGTTTTTCTAAAGACTGTTTTCTTTGCTTCAGAGTCTCTCCTTCAGAACTGTTTATCATCCACATTGTCCTCATTTACCCAGCAGCACGTACAGTACTAATATACTTTTCATTAGTCAATTTAATGAATTTAATTTCGGTTCAAAATGTTAATTAAAAAGTGTATATTTAATTCTTACAAAGAGAAAACTGTAAAACAAACTCTTGGTTCTCAAGTGTTCGGTGGAATTACTAAGAGCAGAGTTGAAAAACAAGATTAATCATTGTGAAATGTAGTATTATGGGCCCGGTGGGTTTTGATAATGAATTATAATGAATTTTCCTATCCACTTTAAGAAAACAAAGGCTCAGAATCATGGTACCTGTAACTTTACTTATATTTAGGGAAACAATTTTGAAGAAAATTTTAAGAATCAAAAAGGAAGTTTGCCTCAAAGAGAAAAACGCTAAAACAAAAAGCTACTAGAACAGATAGTCCATAACCAGAAAATGAATGAGAATTTTATTATTTCTTGGCTTAAAAAAAACCAACCTGTCCTTTGCCAGATCTAAAAATGCTGCCAACCTGAAAAAAAAGGACTCATTTTCTAAATAACTACATTTAGTAATTTCCATGAAATTGACATTTTAGAACTGTGGCAAAAAGCCAAATTAAAACTCAGGGGTTCCTAATCCCTAAATTCTGAGCCTGTTTTGGGAAATACATAAAATATGCTTTAAAAAGGCCCAATTAATATAATTACAGTGGCTTTAAATAACATATATACACTAGATCTGTTTCTGTAAAACACGGCTGATCTGTTATTTATATTTTGCTATTTTTTACAATCAGATGTCGCTTTATATACATATAAAATACATATCTGCAAAGCAACTTTTAAAAAAGTAAATCTGCTGTCTTTTGTTATGATTAAATTACAGAAAAACCAACAACACTACACCAATTAGCTTGAAAATCTTATATTCATGCCCGTGAATATTATCGCGGTTGTAACAAGGACAGCAGCACATTCAGGTAGTTAATGTAACAAAACAAGGCACAGGCAGTAACTTGCATCCCCTGGCAGTTGACATGGTAATTTCTTCGCCTCCACTCTTTGGCTCTCTCCACCTCGCTTCAGACCCCCTCCCCCCAAGACACGAGGCACCCTCGGTGCCAGCGAAGGTGCCTCTCGGGTACTGAAGCGACGCTGGGAAGAATGGGGCCAGAGCGCTCGTTGCCCACACACTTGGCCTCGGGCGAAGTGCGGATGTCCCCCGCGCAGCCCCAGGAGTGGGGAGTGGGTTAGGATCCTGGGGGTCCGGGCGGATCCGGATGCCGCTTCCTGCCCTCCCCCCAGCCCGGTCTGAGTCTGCGGCACGAGGCGCGGG